AGATGGATCGCCGGGATGGAGATCTACTTCGCAGCCGTCGGATGAAGCTCGCCAATCTGGGATGGTCAACGCGTACGACTCGCGGCGACACTGATGTGAGGGCCGGCACTCGAGTGGATTGGCGGCAACAGCACTTTTATCCACGGTGAAGCCACGTGGCAGCAGTTCCGCGCCGACCTGCTGAAACGCTTCGAGCCGATAAATTCCAGTTTCCTTGCCCGGGAAAAATTCATCGCCATCGACAGTTCGGGAGTGTAGCACAGTACACGCAACAGATGGAGGAATTTTATAACCGAATTCCCGACCTGACCGAAGGGGAAAAAGTACAATCGTACCTCGCTGGGCTGAAGACCGAAGTCAAACGCCAGGTAGCAGCGTCAAACTACGCGAGCTACAGTGACGTCGTTTCGGCAGCGGAGCGCTTCGACATGGTCAACGCCGGGACACGGCGGACGCACGTCGGCAGTACGCGATAGGGCGACCGCTCGGCTCACCCCACGTTCGCCGACCCGATGGAAGTCGACAGGTTCGAGGGGCGGCCACGTCCGAAAAACACCAACTACACGTGTGATTTTTGCGGGGTGCCGGGTGATCGAATCTTCGACTGCAACAAAATGAAAACCGCACGCGCTGAGTATCGGGCACGCAACAGTGGCGGAACTCCTTCGGCCAATCAGAAGACAAAAAACGGGAGTCGCCAGTGATTGCGGATCTAGCTGGCGAAAATAAAAAGATCCGGAAGCAGCCGCGAGATTCCGGGAAAATCAACTTCGACGAAGTTGATTCGACGCGAGAAGGAGGAAAAGATGGGGGAAAATCTCCAGCCCACGACCAGTCTTCGCCAGGGAAAATCGCCGAGGAAAAAAACGACTCCGCGAAAAAAGACTCTGCCGAGACGGGGAAACTCCTTGAAGGCCCAAGAAATTATAAGGATTCGTTAAAGTTATCTTATAAAGATGCTTTAATGAAAACTTGGGGCAAGAGCCTTGGAGAATTTCGGGAGGGACTCCAAAAGAAGCAGACAGCTGTGGGGAAAAAATTAAGGAGTGTGGAAAGAAGCCGACCTTTCCACGGAGTCAACGTCCTCTCCCGACACCAGCCCACAACGACTACCCGTTCCCCAGGGAAGACGTCGGTGGAGCTGAAGCAGCTCAAGAGGAAGCTGGGGGTCTATAAGAAGCTGCACAAACCCCGAACTCCTCCTCCAGATGCATCCAGTTCTTCGGCATCAGTGACGCGCACAGTCGTCAAGGAAACTCCAGGCCCTGGAGAAGAACCGTTCTCCAAGCAGCCTCGGCCAGCTGCCAGCTCAGGAGTAGATAGCAACACAAAGGTGTGTACGGAATATTGGGATGTACCCTATGACCCAATCAATGAAACCATTTTTGGGTACTCCGAGCAACGCCTGCCCCTCGTGCTCGAGGTCATCTGCAAAGGACGACGCCTCCAAGCACTCGTGGACAGCGGAGCATCACACACCGTCTGCGACAAGGTAGTAATCGACCGAATTCGGGAAGAGTACACGCCTTCAGGATTCTCTGCAACGATGGTGGACGGCAGCAAGTTACCAGTACACGGCGAAGCAGTGCTACACCTACAAATTGGACCACTGCGCTGGGAGACCTGCACTCCCCATCACCAACATCAAAGGGCTTGACTTGATCTTCGGGCGAGACTTCCTAAAAAGATTCAACCCTGAGATCAACTGGGTGAACCGCACCGCAAGCATCTACAACAATGGACGGAGAGTACAGCTACCGAACTGGGACGATACAGGAGATATCCCAGTGGAGACACTCGCATGATTCGAGAAGAACGTGAAGCAAACCAACACAGGGTTCCTAGCAATAGCAACAGAGGCGGAGAACGACAGAGAGAGAACCTCGGAACCTCCAGGAAAGATCAAGGAATTATTGAAGGAGTTCCAAGATATTCTTCCGGACGATCTTCCGAACGAGCTACCGCCATACCGAACGCACCAACACGAGATCGTAGAGGAACAGGGTTCGAAGCCGACCTTCCGAGCACCATATCGGCTCAGCCCTACGGAGCTGACCGACATGAAAAAACAGATCGAGTATCTCCTAGCCAAAGGACTCATCCGACCATCCACTTCGCCGTACGGTGCCCCAGTACTCTTCACACCGAAACCGGACGGAAGCCTGCGCATGTGCATCGACTACCGAGCTCTTAACAAGCAGACCATCAAGAATAAATATCCGATACCGCGAATCGATGACCTGCTTGACCAGCTTCGGGGAGCTACGGTATTTTCCAAACTGGATCTACGGTCCGAATACTGGCAGATACGGATGGCGGACAACTCTATCCACAAAACTGCTTTTCGAACTCGGTATGGATCGTACGAGTATTTGGTAATGCCATTCGGAGTCACCAGCGCACCGGCAACATTCCAAGCCGAAATGAACCACATTCTATGACCACTTTTGGACGAGTGCGTGGTGGTGTACCTGGACGACATATTCATCTACTCGCACGACATAAAGTAGCACGTCGAACACCTGCGACGCGTCTTCGAAATTCTTCGACGAGAACGATTCTACGTCAAACTGTCCAAGAGCGAATTCACCCTTGAGAAGGTCCAGTTCCTATGACACATGGTGAGCGCTCAAGGAGTTCACGTCGACCCCAAGAAAATCGAAGCCGTACGTACGTGGAAGACACCCGAGAACGTGAAGGAGTTGCAGCAATTCCTAGGCTTCGCTAATTACTACAACAGGTTCGTGCCACAGTATGCGAAAATCGCAGCACCACTCACGAATCTGCTAACGAAGAACACGCCCTACACATGGGAGCCGAAACACCAGGAAGCCGTGGAGCAGCTGAAGCAAGCACTTACGTCCGCACCAGTACTCATCTTGCCAGATCCCAAACGCGACTACGTCATCGAAGCTGACGCCAACGACCAGGCAGTGGGAGCAGTCTTCATGCAAGACCAGTACGGTACATCGAAGTACGGTACGGGGGGGGGGGGGGGGGTTTCGGAGGGCGGTGCTGATCGGGAAGAACGGGCCGAACCCGAGGCAGCCGCAGGCCGGCGACGGCGCGAATGCAGGGGCCGGCCGGCGGGCGGCGAGTAGACACGGCCGCGACGGCGGCCAGGGACAGCCGCAACGGCGGCCAGGGACAGCCGCGACGGCGGCCAGGGACAGCCGCGACGGCGGCCAGGGACAGCCGCGACGGCCGCGAGGGGCGGCCGCGACGGCAGGAGCGACCGTGAGGCGGCTGGAGACGGCAGCGGCGGCGGCTAGGGCGGCCGCGACGGCGAGGGGCGGCCGGGACGACTAGGGGCGGCCGAGGGACAGTGGGAAGCGGCCGCGACGGCAGCTAGTAGCAGCCGCGACAGCTAGGGGCGGGCGCAAACGGCCAGGGGGCCTGCGAAGAGCGGGCGCGAAACGGCCAGGGCGCCGGCTAGGTGGGGCTCGACGGCCAGGGGGCCGGCTAGGGACGGGCGCGAACGGCCAGGGGGGCGGCTAGGACGGGCGCGAACGGCCAGGGGGCCAGCTACGGGTGCGCGCAAACGGCCAGGGGGCCGGCTAGGAGCGATCGCGACGGGCAGGGGGCCGGCTAGGAGCGGGCGCGACGGCCAGGGGGCCAGCTAGTGACGGGCGCGATGGCTAGGGCGCCGGCTAAGGGCGAGCACGACAGCCAGAAGGGCCAGCTAGGGCCGGGCGCAAACAGTCAGGGGTCGGCTAGGGACGGGAGCGACGGTCAGGGGGGCCGGCTAGGAGCGATCGCGACGGTCAGGGGGCCGGCTAGGAGCGGGCGCGACGGCCAGGGGGCCAGCTAGAGACGGGCGCGACGGCCAGGGGGCCGGCTAGGGACAGGCGCGAACGACCAGGGGGCCGGCTAGGGACGAGCGTGAACGGCCAGGGGGCCGGCTAGGGACGGGCGCGAACGGCCAGGGGGCCGGCTAGGGACAGGCGCGAACGTCCAGGGGGCCGGCTAGGGACGAGCGCGACGGCCAGGGGGCCGGCTAGGAACGTAGGGGCGGAAGCGTGAGCGGGCTAGGGGGGGGATCTAACCTACTATGATACCATATCAGAAAGAGAATGATTGAACTAGATGTGTGTGTACAAGGATATATAGACTAGGGTGTTGTACCTCTAAGGCACAATCCAGTATAGTCTACAGTAACGACCTAGGTTACATTTGACACCAATCTCCTATTGCCACATCGTCATCTCCCTTGTTCCATTTCCCCAACCCCAACCACTCTATTTTCTCTCGCTTCTGTTCCATTTCTCTTTTTGATGCTCAAACTTAGACCGTTTTTCCTTCCTTTCTCAGACCCTAACAGCAAGGCGTTCAGGTTCAGAGATGCTCTCTCTCAAAATGTTTTTGCATGCTCAGCATAATACTGGGATTGTTTGCAGTCCTTCCACACCTTATGCTGGCAAGAAGCTGTGCAAGCCCAAGTAGGGTGTTACTGCTGTGGCACTTGTACCCCAGAAAGATATTCAAGTGTGCCTACCTCATAGCTGTTGTGGTAAAATCGTACTTGAGCATTTCTGTAAGTAGTTCCGATAGATATTGTCGAGTTACACTGTAGTTAGCATCCGTAGAATGATGTCAGCAAATAGCGCTCGTCTGGATGATTACGTCAGCTAGCCGTTTCAGTCACCCGAACAGTCGCGCTCTTTTCAGTAGCGGTTAGAGTGCATAGCGCAAATAGCTCGAACAAGTACATGACCGAATAGGTAATTCTAGCAGATATAAAAGTAGCTTGTACAACTTCAATTGTTAACTTGTTCTTCAGTAAACTCTGGTCAACACTTCACAAGTTCTAAGACTTCCGCTGTCTTACTAGTCTACCATTCCAGCAAAGATCCTTGGTTAAGTCTTGAAGTATCGCAAGGTTGTACACTGACTCTGGTGTTACAACTTGTTATTACTGGCTGTTACTGGAGGTACTTCCAGTATTACTTTCTACTTCAGGTACTTGTGTCTGCAGATTTTATACTTAGTCTCCTGCACCACCTTTCAAATTCTTTCAATAGCCAACTCTAGCAGGGCTGCAAGGAGCATAACACATACGTTTCCACGAGCAAATGAATAGAAGAACGCTACAAGGAGCATTAGTGAATGTTTCTGCTGCTCCTCCATCTATGAACAAGCAACGCTACAACCACGATAGACGCGGGCTCCCATAGCCAGCTCAACACCAGGGCTGGCACGCAAACCTCTCAGCAGCATGCCAGCCATTACCAGCGGAAGTATACACTAGGTGGCGTGTCAGTGAACGCCCCTGTCCCCTCTTGCATGCACCAGCAGTGCTACAACCACGATCGACGCAAGCGCGCAAAGCCAACTCAATACTACGGCTGTCACACAGCCGCCTGTAAACAGGCCCATGAGCATCTGGCACGTGGGATGGGTTGAGAAGAGCGTGAAACGACACAAGATAAGGCGCAAGGCTGCTTAGGGAGAGAGAAATGGAACAGGGAAGCAACATGGAAGCAACATGGAAGAATCATGGAAGCAACATGGAAAACAGATCAAATGGACGCAAGAGAGAACGGGCTGCTACCGTTTCGCTGTCCCTTAACCCCACATCCGGTACGTGCAAGAAACGCGTCAGAGTCAAATCGACATTCTAAATTGCAGAAATAACTCTAACCCCCCTCTTGTGAAATCCGTGTAGCCATGATCCCATGCCAGTGCAAGAAATAAGTGATTAGAAGTGCAAGGAGACTTACAGACACTGCTGCTGCATCGTGAAGAGCAGGGGCACACATCTCTTGAGGGGAGGAGGGGAGGGAGAAGCGCCAATTTCATAGAAAGGGAAGTAGGTACGCGCAAGAAGGTGCAAGTAGGTGCAAGTAGATGCAAGGGGACTTACAGACACTGCTGTTGCAGCGTGAAGAGCAGGGGCACACATCTCTTGAGGGGAGGAGGGGAGGGAGAATCGCCATTCCATAGCAAGCGATGTTTCTTGCCGTGTAGGCGCTTCCCCTGTGGGCTGTGAATCCCTCAATGGCTTTGTCTCTTGTGCTTCCTGTGCCCCTCTTATCGACTGATGGCCTGTTGAAGGGCCCGTCCCCTTTATAAGCTGCACCTTGTGCGCATCATAAGCCAGCACCATGCCCAGGGAGTGAACAATGAGGAAGGCCGCAGAAGCTATGGCTGGAGAAGGGTGGGGAGGGAGGGAGGGACGAAGGAAGGGGGGAGGGGGGGTGGTTGGGGTAGGTTACTTTGAGGCGCCCCTAAACACTCCATGTGCACGTGTATTCTAAGCCAGCACCATGGCTAGGGAATTTATCTGAGGATGGCTACAATGCCTAGTTTGGGGTAAGGAGGACAGGGGGGAGAGGGAGGGGAGAAGGGGGAGGGGAGAGGGGGAGGGGAGGAGAGAGGAAAGGAGTCTCTTAGGAGGAACAAGAAAGCAAGGAACCTAAGAGACAGGTGAAATGAGTCGATTTTTGAGTCGACTCAAAAATCGACTCATTTCACACGGAGGGGAGGAGAGAGGAAAGGAGTGGGAACAAGAAAGCAAGCAACGTAAGAGACAGCTGAAGGCAGGCCAGGCCCAATGTCAGGTGATGGGCAATATAAGGAACCAACCTGGCTTATACCAGGCTATGTTACAAGCCTAGAACCAATAAATAGAGGGGGGGAAGCAGCTGTGGGCAGCTGTGGGCAGCAGTGGCGGTGGAAGCGAGGTGGTCTGACATCAGGTGTTGGGGGTAAACATTATAAGGTAGCTAGCTGGTCTTAGTATAAAAATATAACCTGGTAACGCGAATATCTGCAAGTAGCATCAGTAGCAATTGGGGGCAGCACCAGGAGCAGATGGTAGCAGGGCCGGGCCTAAAGCTGGTGACGAGTAACCTCACAAATAAACCTGGTTGTCTACTGAACGAATGAGCCACGCACCTGCCAGCAGAACCAGGGGCAATTGGGGGCATCGCCAGGAGTAGAAGGTGGCCGGGCCTATAGCAGGTGATGATACACTGAGGAAGAGGAAGACAGAGTGAGCGATCCCATGACCTAGACCAGTGGCTGGGGGGGGGAGGGGGCGGGCAAGGGGGGGGACGGATGGATGAGTGGGAGGTAGCAGGGCCTACGGCGGGTGATGAGAACGAGCGCCATGCCACGCCATGCCGTGTCATGCCACGCCATGCCACGCTATGCCATGCCACGCCACGCCATGCCACGCCATGCCACGCCACGCCATGCCACGCCATGCAATGCCATGCCACGCCATGCCACGCCATGCCATGCCATGCCATGCCACGCCATGCCATGCCATGCCACGCCATGCCACGCCATGCCACGCCATGCCACGCCATGCCACGCCATGCCACGCCATGCCACGCCATGCCACGCCATGCCACGCCATGCCACGCCATGCCATGCCACGCCATGCCACGTCATGCCATGCCATGCCATGCCATGCCACGCCATGCCACGCCATGCCATCCCATGCCACGCCATGTCACGCCATGCCACGCCATGCCACGCCATGCCACGCCATGCCACGCCATGCCACGCCAGGCACGCCATGCCCCGCCATGCCACTCCATGCCATGCCATGCCACGGCATGCCATGCCATGCCACGCCATGCCACGCCATGCCACGCCATGCCATGCCATGCCACGCCATGCCACGCCATGCCACGCCATGCCACTCCATGCCACGCCATGCCACGCCATGCCACGCCATGCCATGCCATGCTATGGAACTATGAAAGATTTTTTAGATTTCTAAAAAATCTCTCAGAAGGAGCGCCATGCCACGCCATGCCACGTCATGCCCCGCCATGCCACGCCATGCCATGCCACGCCATGCCATGCCACGCCATGCCACGCCATGCCACGCCATGCCACACCATGCCACGCCATGCCACGCCATGCCACGCCATGCCACGCCATGCCACGCCATGCCACGCCATGCCACGCCATGCCATGCCACGCCATGCCACGCCATGCCATGCCATGCAACGCCATGCCATGCCATGCCACGCCATGCCACGCCATGCCACGCTACGCCACGCCATGCCACGCCATGCCACCTCATGCCACGCCATGCCACGCCATGCCACGCCATGCAATGCCATGCCGCGCCATGCCACGCCATGCCACGCCATGCCACGCCATGCCACGCCATGCCACGCCATGCCATGCCATGCCACGCCATGCCACGCCATGCCATCCCATGCCACGCCATGTCACGCCATGCCATGCCATGCCACGCCATGCCACGCCATGCCATGCCACGCCATGCCATGCCACGCCATGCCACGCCATGCCACCATGCCCATGCCACGCCATGCCACGCCATGCCACGCCATGCCACGCCATGCCACGCCATGCCCACGCCATGCCACGCCATGCCATGCCCATGCCACGCCATGCCACGCCATGCCACGCCATGCCACGCCATGCCACGCCATGCCATGCCATGCCACGCCATGCCACGCCATGCCACGCCATGCCATGCCATGCCATGCCACGCCATGCCACGCCATGCCATGCCATGCCACGCCATGCCACGCCATGCCACGCCATGCCACGCCATGCCATGCCATGCCACGCCATGCCACGCCATGCCACGCCATGCCACGCCATGCCACGCCATGCCATGCCATGCCATGCCACGCCATGCCACGCCATGCCACGCCATGCCACGCCATGCTATGGAACTATGAAAGATTGTTTAGATTTCTAAAAAATCTCTCAGAAGGAGCGCCATGCCACGCCATGCCACGTCATGCCACGCCATGCGATGCCACGCCATGCCACGCCATGCCATGCCACGCCATGCCACGCCATGCCATGCCATGCCATGCCACGCCATGCCACGCCATGCCACGCCATGCCCGCACGCCAGGCACGCCATGCCACGCCATGCCACGCCATGCCACCATGCCACGCCATGCCACGCCATGCCACGCCATGCCACGCCATGCCACGCCATGCCACGCCATGCCACGCCAAGCCACGCCATGCCACGCCATGCCACGCCATGCCACGCCATGCCACGCCATGCCACGCCATGCCACGCCATGCCACGCCATGCCACGCCATGCCATGCCATGCCACGCCATGCCATGCCATGCCACGCCATGCCACGCCATGCCATCCCATGCCACGCCATGCCATGCCACGCCATGCCACGCCATGCCACGCCATGCCATGCCATGCCACGCCATGCTATGGAACTATGAGGGGAGAAGAACGGAATGGGCCAGCGTACCAACATCCTCCGCTGAGCCATGCCAGGACCGAGAATGTCAGCTAATAGGAGAGAAGTAAAACACCCCTCTCGGGAGAAAGGTGGAAGGTGTTGACAGATGAAAGACACGGAAGAAAATGAAGGTGTGGGACAATAGAGTTGATTGCAGCAAGAAGTACCACAAGAGAGGTGGAAGGTGTTGGGGGGAGACAGGTGGAAGGTGTTGAGAGGAGAGAGGTGGAAGGTGTTGAGAGGAGAGAGGTGGAAGGTGTTGAGAGGAGAGAGTGAGAATAGGTGTTCAGAACAATTCTGCTGCATTGTGTTACTTCCCTCCTACAACGAGGGGGAGGGGCGGAGGGGGGGGGGTGTGGGGTGAGAGAAGGGAGTGGAGGGGTCGGGCGTACCAAGAGAGAGATGGAAGGTGTTGAGTGGAGAGAGTGGGGGTAGCTGTCTGGAAGTGGCTATGACGTTTAGACCCTGCTCCAAGCGACTGAGAGGTGGGTGGGGGAGGAGGAGAGGGGGAGGGGAGGGGGGAAGAAAGAGAAGCGAATTTTATGAAAGGGGGGGAGCTGTCGTGAAAGGAGGAGAGAGTGGGGGTAGGTGTCTGGAAGCAGCCATGATGGTTAGACCCCGCTCCAAGCGACTGAGAGTGGGGGGGGAGCACATGGAAAGGGGCGTTGGGAGCATGAGGGTAGGTGTCTGGCAGCAGCTAGGACGTTTAGTCCCCGATACAAGTGACTGGGAGAGTTGGGGAGGAGCGAAGGGAGGAAGAGACAGATGGACGCAGTAGTGGAGGGGAGGGATTGAGTGAGTGGGTGAGTGAGAGAGATGAGGAGGGAGAAACACGCACTACTTTTTCATGGGAGGAGGAGAGAAGGAGAGGAGGAGAGAAGGAGAGGAGGAGAGAGTGGAGTGGAATTCCATGCCTGCTTGTTTCTAACAACGCACTACTTTTGAGTCGACTCAAAAGCGACGCACTAATACGTATGTTGGTGAAGGGGCGGTTGACGAGAGCATGGGAAGAGGGAAGAGCATGGGAAGAGGGAAGAGGGCGATACAGAGTACCACAAGAGAGCTTGTGTAGCAAGAGAGCTTGTGTAGCAAGAGAGCTTGTGTAGCAATCGCCAGGCAGGAGAGAAGAACCGGAGGGAGTGTGACCAATGAAGGGTTTACGAGGCAGGGAAGGGTACGAAAGTACTTGGCAGAGCCGTTGACGGGAAAAGGCTCTTGGCAGGACAAAAGAGAGAGGACGAGGGGGGGGAGTTGTGGGACAAAGAGCTCTTGACAAGGGGAAAGCGGGTGCGTACACGAGTTATGGGCAGAGGAGTAGTCGGGATAGCTCTTGTCAGGCGACGGCAGAGAGATCTCCGGACATAATTCCAGTGAGCGCTCACTGGAATTATGTCCGGAGTTATGGGCAGAGGAGTAGTCGGGATATCCCACACCCGTCGGGATAGCTCGTGTCAGGCGACGGCAGAGAGAGGGCGAGAAACACGTTGGCTTCACAAGAAAAGAGACGGCACTCACAAGAGTATCTAGCACAGCAGTCGACGGGAGAGTCTTGGCAGGCGAAAGCAGAGGAGACAGTGCGCGGCATCGAGGGCATGATGACGGAGGGGGCTTGCTTACTTGAGTATTTGGCAGAGCAGTTGACGGGATAGCTCTTGGCAGGCGACGGCCGAGAGGATGAGGAGGAGGAGGAAGAAGTCGGATAGTGAAGTGAGGGCGATGAAGGGACGCCAGAGAAAGGCGATGGATAGAAGAGTGATGAGCCAATAGAAGGTGCTGGTAGGGTGGGGGGCGGAAAGGGGGGGGGGGGGAGGGGGGGAGAGAGGGGAAGGGGGGGAAGGAAAGGAACAGAAGAAGAAGGCAAAGAGAGGGGTGAGGGCGATGGATAGAAGTGTGATGAGCCAATAGAAGGTGCTGTTAGTGGGGCGGGTGGGGGAGTAGTGGGGGGAGGAGAGTGGAGAAAGGAGAAGACTGAGAGGGCAGTGAGAGCGATGAAGTGACGCCAGAGAAAGGCGATTGAGAGGAGAGGGATGAACCAATAGGAGGTGCTGGTAGGGTGGGGGGGGAAGGGGGGTGGTGGTGGGGGGAGGGGGGGAAGGAAAGGAACGGAAGAAGAAGTCAAAGAGAGGGATGAGGGCGATTGATAGAAGTGTGATGAGCCAATAGAAGGTGCTGTTAGTGGGGCGGGTGGGAGGGGAGAGAGAGAGAGGGGGGGGGGGGAAGGGGAGGGGAGGGGGGGAGAAGAAGGGGGGAAGAAGGGGAGGGTAAAAGAGGAAAGAGAGTGAGAGAGTAGTTAGGGAGGTGAATGGACGCCAGATGAGCCAAACGAAGGTGCTGTTATGGTGACGGGAGGTGAGACGATGCGGAAAGGGCAAGGGACGATAGAGCGGACGAAAAAGCAAGTCAGGTGAGCATCCAGGGGGAAATAGACGGCATAGGTTCCGTGTTACTAGGGTGGTTGACTGGAATGTGTGATAACGAAGCTCACCAACTGGCCATTATAACGAATCCGATGCTAAATACCTGGTGAGGTTGACGAGCGACCAGAAGGCCTGTCACGATTGAGTCGACTCAAAACGAAAATACTATCACACCGATGTTGAATACCTGGTGAGAGTAACGAGCGACAGGAAGGCCTGTCTTGAAACAGTAATGGCTATAACAGCAATGGCCGGTCCGAAGCCGATCAGGAAAGCGCCGCTGAACGCGGCGAATGTCATCTCGGGCGACCGTCGGTTGCGGAGGCGAAAGGAGAGGCGAATCTGCTGGTCGTCCTACGAGCGGCGAATATCAAAAGCGCCGCTAAACGCTGTGAATGTCATCTCGGGCAGCCGTCGGTTGCAGAGGCGAAAGGGCTGGTCGCCCTAGGGGCTAACGAAACCGATAAGGAAAGCGCCGGTGAACGCGGCGAATGTCATCTCGGGCGACCGCCAGTCGCGGAAAGGCTGCGATGAATCTGGAATCTGAACTAACCCATACCCGTTGATGGCTAAAAAGTTGCCTGATCAGTCTAGGAGCTGACAGAAGCCTGCGTCACAATCATTGCGAAACTTGGAACACGAATCTGGCTTCTGCGTCATGCCATCACGCCAACCAGGTCAATTCCTGTTTCAAACTTAGTGCATGAGTTCGTTCGTCGTTCGTTCACAGGTTCCTGGTTATGAAACTTGGTTGCAAACCTGCTGCACGGATATTCTCTAGCAGGTGCATTCTGGAGCCCATATTGCAGCGATAGCGAACGCCGCGAAGCACGACTTTCGCATTGTCTCGCATGCGTTTTCGCGTGTCGTTTCCTTGTCCAGAAGTCAAAATGATCCTCGGTATCAAGTTGGCTGAATCTGGAACGCCCTACTGGAAGCCCAGCTTTCAAGGCTGGTATACAGTACCCACAATAACGGGCTTGGCGTGTCGAAATCTGCTGACTTGTGAAATTCGGTTACAAACCCTGTGCCCCTGCCCAGACCACCTGGCTGTGAGTGTCTCGTAGTGGGGGCAGGAAACTAACAGCCTACTCCCCCAACTCTTTACAGTACTTCGTTAACCAATCTGATTCGAGACTAGCCATGCGAAGCGAGCCGTTCAAGGCTCATGCGAGAAAACCTGGTAACTCAGTATGCTTGGTTCGTCGCCACCCTGTGTGGCTCGTTGAAGTGTCGCGATGTGTGTTGTCGCCTATCGCGGTTTGCGTAGGGGATGGAAGGGGGTATGACAGGTGGGTGCGGGGGTGTTGGGGGTGGTTGGGCACGATAAAGTGCTGGTTGGGCATGTGGTGCAGAGTGGATGATCTAAAGTCGTCATATTTCAGCTGGTAACCTGCCAGCTGGTTACTTAAAGCCCGAGTCTAGAATGGTTTGCTATCAAGTTCAGGAATCCTGAACTTGTTTTCGTCCAATAGAGGGTAACGTAGTAAATGCCATTTGCACGTCGCAACTCTCGGGGAACAAGGGGCACCTTGCGAATGCCGCTGAAAAGGACAAACCCGCAATTACTGTTCATCTCAGTATTCTTGATTTTCGCCTGCGACCATTCTGAACGCATTTTTGTGGGGGTCTCGCGTCACTGTTCGTTCCCCCCCTTCCCCCGCCCCCCACACATTGTTCATGCACTGTTGAACTCGGTTCTTGCCGATGAAATTTCGTGCTGCGATCACGGTTCTGCTATTTCGCCAAATTCTGTATTCGTCAGGGGAACTTTGCCGAAATTACTTTCGCCCAGTTTTTTTGGCACTGTTTTCATGCCCAGTATTCATGGTTTTTAACCATTCTAGACTCGGGCTTTAATCTCCATGGGTGTAAGGAATTTTCCATTCCTTACCGAGCGGTACTGCTATCGCGTACGATCAAACACACCTGAAGCCTTAGGACGGTTCTGGACCAGTGCTGATCTTTGGATTTTCGCTACTCTGAATTCTGGTAGTGATTTTTATCGGAACTCTGAAAATCAGAGTGACCTCTAACATATTCCCTGAATGGTCAGAGTAACCCACTATTTCTAAAAAATTTACTCTGTCAATTATGTTCTCTTGTAGACGCCCGCAAATGCATGGGTCATGTCACGTGTCTAATTGCCTAATTCATACATGATCACACGCCATTTTGAGGGAGCTAGGGCCAGCATGGGCCGTGTGAAAGAAGGGTGCGGGGCACGAAGGGATTGATTGGTGGTGCATCACAATTGCGCAACCGGGGAGAACTGGGGAATGGTTCGGAAACAAAATTGAAAGGCACGGGGAGTGCCTATCAAGTTTGCACACGCTGGTTGGGCGGGGGCAACCAGTGCCATCCACAAGAAAACCCCTCTTCCCCACACCCCAGGCCCTCAGATTCGTTTTAGGCCACACTGAATTTTCAGGGTCGGTACACAAAGGCACCTTGAAAACATCCTCAAAATCAGGGTTGGTACTGCTTTTTTAAGTAAACCCCGGTTTTCCAGATTCCAGCGCTGATTTTTCAGGGTAGGTACAGCAAAACACCCTGGAAATCAGCAAAATCAGCAAAAAAAAACCTGAAATCTGAGGGCCACAATCCACGCGCAGCCACCACGCAAGAGCACACATCTCGTGGAGTTTGGACCAATCGGCGCCCTCATACAATCTGCGCCATACATCACGTGGTGAATCTGGCTAAGGGCCAATTGGGGCCCTCACACAGTAGCCAACACACTTTGCGTTGTGAGGGCGCTTTTAGGCCCTTAGTCAGATTGTACACATTGGACGGTGATTTCAGTTGAAGGACCAAATTTCACCCTCACACATGCTCCAGCAGCATGCATCGAGAGCTGATTTTGGCTAAGGGCCAATCAGCGCCCTTATACAACAGCCCAATTAGCTTCGGTTTCAGTCCGTTATAGTCGGCATGGATTCGGGTCCACGTATGTAGACAGGGGGGTACAAGAAAAATCTGGAGGTATCCCCCCTGTACAGAAACCAACAGGGTGGTACAAAAGAAAACTCTGGCTAATCAGAGAAAACGTATTATCTCAAAAATTTTACCCAGAGGCATAAGGGTGATACGTAAAATCAACTCTGAAAATCAGAGAATCAGAGTAATTTACTCGTGAAAAATAGGGACTGTTCTGGACCTTTTTGACAGAACTGCCTCGGCATCTCTAGACCTTCTAGTTCGACCTTCAGGAGTTCTCCAGGCCTCGCTCCGTCACTTCGAGACCCTTCTATATTTTTCCCGAACCTTCAAGAAGTGACACTATCGACGTTCCAGAAATGAAGGGGAGTGTTGTGATATAATTGATACTTAGCATTTCTGTAAGTCGATTAAGTGTAGTTAGTGTCGAATCCTACTGTAGAAGATAAGTCCGTAGGATGACGTCAGCAAATAGCGCTCGTCATAGGACAGTCGTTTCAGTCATGCGAAACAGTCGCACTCCTTCATTATCATCTAGGGCGCATAGCGCGATAGTGACGAACAGGTACATTAGCGAATAGGTACTTTTCGTAGAACTATAAATCTCTGTTAGGTCTTTTTCATTATTAACTTTGATTACTCACAAGTTCACATACTCAGATTATTCAACCTCGGACAACGCACGCACAAAGCTGGCCAACTGGCGCCAGTGGAGTTCTGTCCAAGATTACGCGTCGGTGTTTATGGCGTTATGCGATCAAATTACCGACATGCATGACTCCGAGAAGAAGGCTCGATTCATTTTGGGCTTGAAGCAGGACATTAAATGCGAAGTTCGACTACGACTACCGGCGACGTTTCACGAAGCAGTCTGGATCGCTGACAATTTCTACGCGCATCTGGCGAATGCGATAGCGGGTTCCCGGGAGGGAAATCGTTTTCGCGGCCAGGATCCACGGCCCACGATTCACGGCGTAGTGGCAAAGGAGCACATGGAAGATTTTCGCAAGGGGCAATGTTTCAATTGCCACCAGTCGGGTCACCAATCTCACGATTGCCCCTGAACGAAGCAGATAAAGAAGAACGACGAAGGCAGGTCGGGAAACGCCAAGCGTCAGTAGCGGTCGGGCCCCCTACTGACCCTGCCTCATCGCCCGAAAAACACCATCCCCATGGGGTAGTAGTTCCGATACACGCAATCAACCGCTCACAGCTGAATAAGGGGGATGACCTCCGCTCACTGTGCTGGTGGAAGGACGACTAAATGGAAGAAAACTTAAAATATTCATCGACGGAGGTGCGAGTCAAAGCCTGATAAATCGGGAGATGACACGAAGACTGCATTCATCGTTGGAGCGGTATCTGCCCAAAATAGACGCAAGATTGGTGGATGGCACCCCGCTGGCGATACGCGACTAAGTACCCGTCGTTCGAATGAAGTGTGGCGAAGATTTCGGCTTCAGCACGTCGATGCTAGTGACAACGCTCAACGTCTATGATGTGCTGTTGGGACGCGATTGGCTGCGAAGATTCAATCCGCAGATCGATTGGACAACAGGCGACTGCACAGTGAAGTGCGAAAAAGGCTGGCGAAAATTACCCACGTGGCCGGAAGTAGAGACAACCGCGGCATGAGTCAACGCTGTGTGCCACAAGCGAGCGGTCAAGAAAGGAGCGGATTTATACGCTGTCCATCTAACCAAATCAACGGAGCAGAACGAGGCGTCTGACATTAACAAACTCCGCGCTTCGGTCCTGGATTACTTGGCAAAATTCATTCGGGAATATCCCGAGATTTTCCCAGACGACTTGCTAAGTGGACTGCCACCCGAGCGATCCCAAGACCACAAAATCGAGTTGTAGCCCGGCGCGCAGCCTACTGTACGAACTCAATGGCGCCTGACTTAGCCCGAGCTACAGGAATTACGGAATCAACTTGACTACCTGCTGGCAAAAGGGTTTATTCGGCCAAGCACGTCCCCGTTTGCAGCGCCGATCCTGTTCACCCCAAAGAAGGACGGCGGACTTTGCATGTGTACGGACAATTGTGCCCTTAATCGGGTAACGTTTAAATCGCGCTATCCAATCCCACGCACGGACGAGCTGATTGACAACCTTCGCGGAGCTTACTATTTTTTGAAGATCGACCTTCGTGGTGGTTACCATCAAATTAGAGTGTTCGCGGATAACTGCTACAAGACCGCGTCTCGTACTCGCTACGGGAGATACGAATACACGGTGATGCCGTTTGGATTAACGAACACCCCCTTGACGTTCCAGCTCACCATGAACGGGGTGTTCCGCGATCTACTCAACAAATATGTGATAATTTACTTTGATGACATCCTGATTTACAGCAAGGCCCGGGAGGAACATTTAAAGGACTTGGAAGCGGTTTTTCAGCGAGTGCAGCAGCATCGTCTCATCACCAAGGGCTCCAAGTGCGAGTTTTTAAAACAAGAACTGGAGTTCCTAGGGCACGTGATATCCACGGAGGGGATTCAAATAGACTCGAAAAAACTCTGGGCTATTCAGGAGTGGAAACCGCCAACAAATCTGCAGCAGCTGCAATCATTTCTGGGTTTTGTGAATTACGTGCGGTGGTTTATAC